GGACCCAGACTGTGGGGGCGATATGCTGACTCTGTAAACCGCTTAGAGAGGGCTGAAAGCCCTATGAAGCGGTATATAAGTCTAACTGCTAACTGCTTTGTTTGGCGACTAAAGTCCTGGTCCCAATTACCGTTGTTAACCAAGGACTACCTGCCATGACTCTTTCCTTCCTCTCCAGAGACCTGCCTTTGGATAAACAGGCCGGGTTACAGACTAAAGCTTGTATCACTAGAGTCACTGTAATTCCATGCAAACAATATAAGGAACAGGATAGGAAGTCCCCAGGTTGTCTAGCAGCAACAAAGAGCTATAAATAGCTACATCTTCATCATTCCATCAATTGCCTTTCAGAAGCAACCATTCACGTCAGCAGATTTAAAAAAAAAGACGACAAAATCAGCCTTCCAGTTCTTCTGGACAAAAGGACGACATCCACTTAACTATCAAGATTCCAGAACAAGTGACACCGTATAGCAAACTAGCTACGGGACAGCGTATTCTGCCCGTTATTATATGTGGATATTAATAATCCCTTGGGTTTCAAGCAAAAGCAGCATCCGAGGAAACACCCCCCACCCCCGAAAACCAACCTGTGTCTTACCTTCTCCGATTTGACTTTTTTGAGCTGTCGGCACTCGCTGTCCCCGTCTTCCAGTTCTGATTTAACTCCCAAGGGATTGAGCGCAGATCCCGTGTCAATAGCTATACCTCCAAGCTGCTCGGCGGCAGCGGTAGGATCCGATCCTTGGCCACCATCGTATTGCCCCACCCTGACCGCCAAGGCAAGAGGTTGGAGTACAGTGGGCTCCTTTTCTGCGGGAGCACCCACACCCTCACTCCTTTCTTTCTTACTCTTGGAAGAGCCACCTTCCTTCTCCTTCTTGGAGTTCGCCACGCTGCGAGAAGTCTTGGCTGATTTCTCAGAGCCTTTGGGGGCAATGGTGGCCACCAAACCCCCAGTGTTCACACCATCCCCTGAGCGCCCCTGAACCTCCTTCTTGCCAGTGGTCCCTTCACTTGGCGTAAACAGGGAGGATCCCGGGGCAGCCTTGCCGTTGTCCTTGCTACTCTTACTCCGTTTGGATTTGGATTTCCCTTCCTTGCTCTGTGGACCTGGCACTGGAGTCACAAACTTGATGTTCTCTGGTAATGTCGCCACAGCATTTGGGGCTGGCAGGCCCACCTCCTTGGAGCCAGACATTTCTAATTTCTGTTGGTCCTTCTCCAAATCCGCGTCCAGGTCAATGATGAGATTCCCTACTCCAATGTCCCATTCATCCCCACTGTCATATGTCTCAACTGGGTTTGCATCCACTCCTTTCCCTCCGGTAGCTCCACCGCTCAAGGACATCTTAGAGTTAACCACCACCTCAAGGTTCAAGCCTCTTGTCTGCTCCTTCAGCCTCGGGGTGTGAAGTAGCAGCTTCAGCTATGTTCTCAAGCCTCCAGTAATCAAGAAGCACCCGGGTGATAACATAATGGCTGAAAGGAAAAGCAGGGACAACATATGTTACATAGCTATACTTTAGGAAGCGTATTCTAAAACCATACACAACATACAAAAATATGGGAAAGGATTTTACATGCAGGTGTAAAATGCTCAGGCAGAGTAACTGAATATCATTAGCCATTCCTGCTTTAATTTCAGGCTAAAAGAAAAATTTGAAGGTCAAATCACATTAAACTATTTTCATGGGATTAAGGACTCTACTCTAACATCAAGTCAAACATTTTTTATAAATTTAGGCAATAAGTGTATTACAATGGGCAGTTGCTCTCCACGGTCTCTAAGCTTCCCTTCATTTACTTCTTTTTTAAAAAATTAGAGCAGCCTGGGAATGGATATGAGACATTCTCCGTGCAAAGAATTTGTTTTCTACTATAGTTTATCTGTCCTGTATAGCTTAGACTGCATACCTTTCTTTCCCCCCCACTAGTTACATGGTATACATAAAATGAATACAGGATCCAATGGACAAGGACATTTCCCTAAGGTACAACTCAATTCCACGAAGCATGAAGATTATGTTTTGGTAGCACAAGGATGCAGGCTGGTAAAATAGATCAGGAGGAAGGAACAAGGTATAATATTAGCAATTAATTCACATGATTGCAGTAGCTGCACTGTTTCCCATTCATTCCCCCATAGATTCTCTGACTTTGGCTGTTAACAATCTGCTCTCCAACAGATCATTATGGAGATTTTTTAACCTCAGGAGCCGAGAGTTGGTATTAGAGCAGGAAATTTTTTTAAAAAAAACAACGCAGCAGTGATTTTGCCTTTACCGTAGATAAATGCAGAAGCATAAGCAGCTGCAGAATCAGGAATGGCTTTGTAAAACAGCAGCCGCTCACTACCCCACCTTCTGATAGAGTACATAGCTTACAGTACTACTATTTGTCTCCCTGAAATATTCTGGCTGATTGGCTTGTCACATCTTGTCCTTAAGCCTTTATTCCTCCTAATGAGATCAGAAGCAACCTTTTTTCCTATCTGGAGTAGTTTTAGAGAAGGGGCAGAGCCACAAAATGGATTATTGACGTGTCCCATCTTTTATGTACTAATAGAACAAGAAACATGTCCTACAGTCAGAAGAGGAGGAACCTGTGCATACTAACGCTCCTTGAACATCATGCAATTTCTTTCTCTCTTTTTTTTCCGCCGTTGTTCAAGAGGTTGGAAGAGAAATTACAGCATTCCACAGACATTTCTGCCAAATTGAAAAGGCTTGTGGGAATTAATATTTGCAGAAGGATGCCTGCTCAGAAGCACTGTTGTATTAAATATAGCCCAAATCCAACTTCATGCATGCATCAGGAGACTGCACGCATGGTTTATCTTAAACCAAGTTAATAAGGTGGTTACTCTTAATAATTAAACCACCTTGGTTTAATAAGTCTTTAGAACTCACGGCAATTACTTTGATCCCAAGGCCGATTTGTTTTAAAACACAGAATAAAGCATCATGCTTTTTAAGGGACGAATGTTGCAATACACCAAATTAACTTGTCATACTGAAAAATGGCAGATGACAGAATTTGAAGAGCTGCATTTCAGTCCTGATTATGTTAACAGGTCAAAAATCTGGCATGCAGTGCTCAGCTCCAAAGCAGGAATGGAGCTTCAGATGTGGTTGATGTATTTACTGTATCTGCCAGAGGTTCTTTAAAGAAGATATGCTTTTTTCCAGACTTACACATGGTCTCTGGAAAATATGTTTACCATTCAGCTACAGTTCAGAGGGTGGGGAAAACCAGCATCTTTAAGGAGCTGCTGGCAGGCACAGTAAATCCACCCTGGCTGGATCTGGAATTCCTTTCCTGCTTCAGATCTGAATATTGCACACCTGGCAAAAAAAAAAACAGGGAGTGTAAACTATCTTCATGCCAACCAACTGTCAGTAAATATCCTCCATGGCAATCATATCTTTACACCCATTGCAGAAAACAACACACTGCAAACAAATATGACCTGATGTTGTTTTTTCTTATATCTCACAATTGCCGGTAGTAACGGCAGCGGGAGGCTCCGCTCACCCACCTGGACGCTTTTGCGTATGTGCAAAAGTGTTGTGCGCGCGTGTGAGCGTGCCTGAACCAGTAGTAAAAAAATTGGCAACCCACCACTGACTTAAGAGTTATATACCGCTTCACAGTGCTTTTACAGCCCTGTCTAAGTGGTTTACAGAGTCAGCTTATGGCCCCCAACAATCCGGGCCCTCATTTTACAAACCTCAGAAGAATGGAAGGCTGAGTCAACCTTGAGCCAGTGAAAATCAAACTGCTGGCAGTCGACAGAATCAGCCTGCAATACTGCATTCGAACCACTGTGCCATCAAAGGTCTCTCAGTGCCACCAAATGCTTACCACAATGGGTGGAGTACTAATACGAATTAGGATTCATAATATGAACTCCACTTCTGGTGATTTAGATCCATGCCTGTCTAGGCTTCTTTGGGTGTGGTTGTGTAGGTATGAGTGTGTGAATAATTTCTGCCGAAACTCTTGTTAAGGACGTCCTCAACATCAGTAAGATTACTACAGTGTGCTTGATCTTACTTTTGAAGACTACTCAGAAACTGGAATTGGTACAAAATGCAGTAGCCTATATAGTAGCAAGTTGGATTGCTACAACCATATTATACTTATATTTCAGGTGTTATATTGGCTTTCAATAGGTGCTAGTTTTAACCTACAAGATCTTATGAACTTAGCTCTGAAGTATCTTCAGGATGCTCTCATCCAATTAGAAATGGGTGCTCACATAACCTAGGTGGAAAAGGGTTATGGGAGGCTAGGGGTACTTCCCTGTGGTGCCCCCTATGCTTGGAACAGCCTTTCCTCCAACATCAGGTTGGCAGCTATATTGGTATCATTGTAGAAGGCAACTGACATGGGATTCTTCCAGACAGCCTTCAAGTTGCAATTTGCTACCATGTACCTTAGAGTTGTGTCCTGGTTATCACATATATTATTACCCTATTAAAAATATGGATAGTTTTATTGAACGTATGTCTGAAAACCTGACTGTATTTTTTAGTTTGCGGTATTTTTTCTTTAAATGTGACAGATCACTTTCATATGGGAGCATATAAAAATAACAGAAATAAAGCAGACATTTGCCTCTTGTACATTACATGCAAGTCCCAATATTTTGTTTTGTTGAAAATTATAGCTGGAAAACGTAACTAATAAAATCTGTGCACTGTGGATTCAGCCAGGTGTCTGAAATGATACATCCTATTTATCCTACTGTACCTTAGCCTGCAGCTTGTGGCCCATTGCCCCACCAGAACGTCTAGTACAGAAACCAGAAATAAGCATCCAAACCCCAAGAAATTACGGAGATCAGATGGGGAAGAAATCAGTCCAAGCAAAGGAATTCTCCTCCATTTCCTTCTTGCCATGCAGCATTCTACCCGTGCAAACCAGAAATTGCATGTATCCACTTGTACCACTGGCAGCCTTCCAACAGGATTCTAAGGGAAGTCTTGGAACAGAAATACTGAGAGAGACAGCTTCTCACTTGGGAAAACCACACATATGCAGGGCCAGGCATAAATAATTTAACTCCATTAAAGGCTGCATGAAACCACCACCAGCTGCATCTGCATTCCGAGAAAGAGTCATGCCACTAAAGAGCAACTTGAAAGTTGACTTCCAAACTGCGGCCTCTTAACGAAGAACACCTCCGTCAGATCTCGCAAAGGCTCGTTTTGACTTTTCGCAGAGTTTCCGCTCTCTCGCTGATCACGACGGCCTGCATTATCGCTGACCTTTGGCGGAGAAGCAAGAGGCAAAGAGAAGCCAACTGGGGATGACGTGACACCGCGAGATGGATTGATCCCACCAGCAATTTCAGCTACATACAAAGGGAATGTCTCTTACCAGCTACATTCAAAGCGGAATTCTAGTTGCTTCCAGACATTACCCACAGCAATTTTCAACCTGATTAACTTTCAGGAATGCCATCGCTGAGGAACAACAGAAACGGTGGAAAAAAATCTCCAGCACCAGGCAACCGCAGCTCCAGAGCATGGCCAAGGCTCACACGGGATTTCGGATGGTTGCCTTGTCTTTTCCCAGGGCCAGAGCATACCAGCTTGCATGCATTTCTGGCTCCAGGCGATCCCCAGGAAAACAAGCGAGAGCAATCAGAGCAGAACAAAGCAGTTTTTGAGACGGATCTGCCTCCTCCTCCTCCTTTGACAATTGTAACAGACCTACTTCGGAGGGCCCAGAGTAATTCCACGTAACCCAGGACCTTGTTCCGTTAACCCCATCCAGCCTCTGACGTGCCTACTTTTCCGGAGACGGCTGTGGAAGCCCGCGCAGCAGCTGCTGTATTCTAGGGTCGCTCCTCCCGTCATCCTGGGGTTGGCAGCCAGCCCACGGCTCTCCTCTATCCACCACCTCGAGAACAGGCTCTCTTTTTTGTTTCCTGACTAAAGAAACTCAGGGGGATGCATCTCGCTTGGCAGAGGAGGAAGCTGCTGCACTCCGAGCTCCTCACACTACAGAGCCCAGCTCCCTCCAGCTGCTTTGTTTAGCTCCAACCTTTCCCTTTTCTCTCTCTCTCTCTCTCTCTTCTTTTTCCCTGAGCAACTCCCATGTCTTTTTGTAGCCTCCTTTTTAAGATGTTGCTCTCTCTCTCTCTCTTGTGCTCTCTCCAGCGATGAAAACAATGTTGAATGAAAGCCAGCTGGCAGCCAGAAGGAGATGAAGGAATCTGCACAAAGGAGCTTCCTAACTCGCTGCTGCTTTTCGTTCAAGGAACTGTCTGCTGGCAGGGGGAGGCAGGGGGGGGGGAGACTTTGCTTCTCTCTCTCTGAGGCAGATCCCCCTCGGACTACAAAAATGTGCTGTTGCAACCCCCATCCCCCCCAATCCCTTGGCCTTGCCTATAACATGGATGCCCGGCCACAAAGATGGGGATGTACAGGGAGAGGCAAGCTTGAAATAAAGGATGAAATGTCCACACAGGATTATCCACACCTGTCCGTGACTTAGAATAATCTTACATAAATCGTCGTAATTACGAAAGGTCCGCCTGAGTCATTATTTCTCCAGCTTCTCATCTGAGAAATTAATTACACATCAAAAAGTCCGCAAACAAAACCACAGAGAGGATTTTACTCTACTCCCTCTCTCTATGACAATTTCTTTAGCGCACAACAGATGGATTATCACCAGGGTACAAGGTGGAGCAGGGAGTACTTAAAAAGTAATAAAAAGGCAAGTTTACTTTGTGTCAGGGGGTAATGCTTTCTGACGCAAGTAACGACAGTTATAAAATATGTCCAACAGCCAGCTTCCGAGTTATGCTTATGCATATAACTATATGGCGCTGTTGTAAATGAGAGTCCAAATAAACAGCAAGACTTCAGGAGAGTTTGTATGGTCTGAAAAAGAAGCCTAATTGTTTTAAAATCAATGTTGTAAATCAGAATACAGGAGGCAATAGGTTACACTGCCCCAAATATCAGATATGGTAATAACAGGTTTATGGATAAAGGTCTTATTTATGCCCAAGGAGGTTTCAACTTGCCTAAATTATCAGACAATCTGCTTTTTGAATTTATTATTGGGGTTTTTTTCCCAGTACAAATGTGCAGTTTATGTATTGTGGCGAGATGGACGGCAAACAAATTTAATAAATAAATACTTTTTCCCCTGTTCAAATGTTCAAAGATGGGATTGCTTTTAGCTTAAATGAATCTCAACGTTTCCAGCTATCAGTTGGGAAGACGACGATTTAAATGACAGCTCATCCCACATGGCAGATTTCTTCATTCTGCACTGTGCATATAATCTTGGGAGTTCTCCTTTGCGGCTGCTCCAAACTAAGTTGCGTATTTGATGAACACACAAGAACCTAATGGAACAGAATGCTCTAAATAAGAATATTTAGAGCATGAAACTCTATTAGCCATGAAGGTTAATTGACACTTCCAAATTGCGAGGCAGCATGCCACTGAATGCCTTTTAGTGGAAGACAACAAAGGGGGAAGGTGATTGCTTTGATTCCCTTTTTGTGAGCTTCTTGGGAGCATCTGTTCGGCCTTTATTGGATTTAGGATGCTGAATGAAGAATTCTGATCTGGTCTCACAAGGTGGTTCTTGGGTTTTGTGCTCCCCATTGTTTTATTATCCCTCTTCTCTAGCCAAGCCTCACCTCTATTCAAGTTTACACAATAAGAGCCCCTAATAAATTGACCCTCGAGATGGGGGCCCATCTTGCCATTTCTGAAATTAAACGACTGGGAAACAGACGAAATACTTCATCATCTCTTACTTTAAGGCTACGTTTTGACATAAAAACATGTCATCCAATTAATGAAATGATAGAGATGCTGCTGTGTTCACACAACCCGCTTACGTCATTTCCACTCTAGATCCTTTCTCCTCAGAGAAGGAAGCTACCTCAAGGAATCCCGGAATCGTAATAGGAAGGGATCTTAGGAAGGTTATCTGCTGCAACCCTGCTCTTACTGGAACCATTAGTGGCCTGTAACAGATTACCCATCCAACTTCAATTTCATCCAGGGATGGGCTGCTACGGGTTTGCCCAGGTTCAGGAGAACCCATAGTTAACGTTATGGCCAGTTCAGAGAACCTCCAAATCCCAATCCTGGCTACCCACCACCACCACCACCCTCCCCTCCCCTCCAAGGAGTCTCCACATGGCCTGTTTTGGATGCGAGATAAGTGCAGGGCCCCCACAGAGGTTCGGGGAGGGGGAAAAATGGGCCTCCTGGAAGTTCTACTTCCAGCCTCCAGAGCCAGTTTTCGCCCTCCCAGGGGCTGAAGGAAAGCCTCCGGAGCCTGGGGAAGGCAAAAACGGCCTCCCCATCGTGGTGCTGGAGGCTGACTAGGCCATGCCTACCAAGCAACCGGGCAGAGACCCTGTTGCTGAAATTTTTGAAGCCCACCCCTGCTTTCATCTCTAGCAAAGGCGA